GCCAAAGAGAACAAGAGACTGGAATTGAATGTTCAGACTGTTTGGGTCAGAGAAGATGTCAGGCAGTAAGCCCTGGGAACCAGGTGCCATGGGCATAGCACCAGATTGGAGAGAAAAACTCAGAAGAGATTCACCTGGAGACCCCCATACAGGGCTCTTCTGTTCTATTCTGGGAAGCTTGTATGTTTCCTTTTAAGAATGGAAAAGGAACCTACATAGAGTGCTAAGCTAAGGTGAGAGAGGACATTGCTGGCTGCACTTTCCTTCTCTCCCTCCTGAGGCACCCACTTAGGAATTGACCAGAGAGTCTTCCCCAGGGAGTGGAAGATCTGGTGCAGGAGGGGAGGAGGGGAATAGCCCATGAGCGGCCATGGGATGTGCCCTTCCCAGGGTGGCCACCAGGGCCTCTATACTGGTGACTAGTGCAGAGGGTCAGCTCTGACACAAGGGGACCTGTTCTATGAGTGAGCTTCTCCAGGCCCAGTGGGAGCTGCTTCCTGGGGCTTCAGGATGCTGTAGCCAGAGAGCAGGTGAGGGAGGCTGGAGCAGAGAGAGGGCAGGGAGTGGGGACTGAAGGAGAGAGGCACAGGTCTGGCCACCCTGGGCCTATTCTTCCTGGGCATTCTCCCCGCCCACTTTCTCTCACTAGACGTAGCAACAGGGCCCACTTCGTAGGACCATTCGTGATCACCTCAGACTCTGCCCCACTGCCCAGCACCCCTTGTAAGGTATTGATCTAGTGCTGATGGGATGGCTCTGGTGCTCAGATCAGGGACTGAGAGGTCCTGGGCACTCCCAGAGTTGGGGATAAAGAGTCCTTCAAGTACAAAGGAAACTTCCTAAATGCAGTTCTCCACAGGGGTGGGGGAATTTGCCCTGAAGAGGGTGAGGGCTCTTCCCATCTAGCCTTGATTCTGAGATTCCCTCCAGAGCCTTCTGGTCTGGTCGCCTCTGCTGCTTATCATAGCGTGGGCCGCAGGGGGGCGCTGCTCTCCCTCTGATGGTCTGGCTAAAGGCGGCCGGGATGGGCTCCCAGCTCACTGAAGTTCCTGAAAAGACGGCAGGGTCACCAGAGGGAGGAAGATACCAATTTATCACCCAGTGCTTCCTCCCGGCCCGAGACAAGCAGTTCCCCCGGTCCGCTGGGTCGTCAGGCCTTCCCCTTGGACAGAGAGGTTCAGCCCCACCCCGCCCAGAGGGCCCCAGGTGAGCCCCACAGTGAGGGGGCGGGGCCTGCCCATGTGCCCGGATGTTCCCACGCCCCCTCCCCACATCCACACACCCCCATTCTGGCTTCTCCTTCTGACTGCTGGGTCTCCTATCTCTCTCGAACGCTCTGACAATGGCACTTCCAGTATCCCGGCCTGTCCCTCTCTCCCCCCTGTCCACCCCATGTTTTTCTGGTCCCTGTCTGCCTCACAGGCGGCCGTCTCCCCTCCCATCCCCTGGTTAACCAGCTGTGTAAAGTGCTGCCAGGGCCGGACTGATGGATGGGCCCTTCCCCAGCCCTGCTCTTGCTCGTGCCTCCCCGGCAAGCCCTTTCTCCTCACCTCTCCCTCCACCACATATTTTATCATCAGGGAAGGACACCAAGAGGAAAGGACGTTCTGGATAAGCAAGTGGAGGTGTGTTGGGCAGATAATGGGGGGATGCGGGCAGCTCTTGCAGATAAGGGTTTCCAAGACTCCCTGGAGAGTGCTGTATGAATGAGGGAGAATGCCCCTGATCCTTCTGTCCTTCCATGACCCTGACTGAGCAAAGCCTGAAGCTGGGAAATGGATGGAAAGGGAGGGTAGTGCGTAAAAGGGCTGGGGATTTAGAGCAGCCAGAACGGAATTTGCATCTCAACCCCGACAGTTATTAGCTGCAGGACCCCGGGCAGGTACACCTCAGTTTCTCCATCGGTAAAGTGGAGGTAAAGCGGTCTATGGTGCCTTGCACCAGTGTAAGCTCAGTAAATGGCTCCTATCCCTGCTATTAGGGTGCTGGGCCACCCTGTTCCCCTGAAATCTCTCTCACCCCTGCATCCTGGATTCCATCCAAGAACACCTATTCCTACATGCCCTTTATATACCAGGAACCTTCACATCCACACTACCATGTAATTCCTCTTTTTATAATTACAAAGGCAGGAACACAGAGAGGTTAGCTGGACCAGTGTATTAATAGAAGCTGAGGCAGAACCAAGAAGCCTGAGTCCAGAGCCCCAGGATCTGCCATGCTGGTGGCAGCAGGTTGCTGAAAAAGAAACTGAGCAAAGGTTTGCTGAGAAACTCCACTGGGCAAGAGCTTCAAAGAGGCCTGAGTGGGAGTGAGAACCCTGGTTCTGCTCCTGCCCCTGTCACTTGCTGGGTGACCTTGAGGAAGTTCTTTTCCCTCTCCAAGCCTCAGCTTCCACTTCCTCATCTCGCCAGGGTGTGGGGCAGAGGTGGGCCACATCCTTTGTGAAATCTCATTCCGCCCTGAACACTGTGTTCCCTCCCCTACAAAGGAACCCAGCATTGTGATATATAGTGGGGCTGAGCTCAAGGCTGGTCATAGGGTGAAAATCTAGTCCTCATTTTCCCCACCCTTCATTTCCTCACTCTTCCCCACCCCCATCATGTCGCTTGGGGCCTGTAACCAATGAGACGTAAAATGAGAAAGTATCAGGAACTAGCAAAGCATGGAGAGCAGCTGGGGCATCCTCGAGTGTGATGGACTGCCAGCCCTTCACCTCAGCCCAGCCTCCCGTGCCTGACTGACGCAGGCCAGCAGCCCAACCGAGACTCACCCAGCCTGGGCGGGGGTGGAGGGGAGTGCAGGTGGAGATCAGAGTGGGGAGGCCTATTTTCAATGAGTCCAAAAGCCTCACCTTAAAAAAAAGCAATGAAATGTGTATGTATTGCCATGGAGAGATACATCCAGCACGTATGTTTGAGTCATAAAAGCAGGTTACGTGATCTCACCCATAAAGTGATCCCATCTATGTTATTACATAGAACTGTTGGTTCATACATAAAAATATGGGCAGAGAGACTCCAAACTGAATAGCAGTTACCTCTGGGAGTAATATAATAGGGGAAACATTCACTTTCTACTTTATACACTTTTCCTTTGTTGGACTCTTAAAGCAATCATATATTGCTCTTATAATAAAAGAAAGGTCGTTTTATAATAAAGATATTTCCATTACGCAGAGGAAAGCCTTGAAGAAATATGCACGGGCTAATGAAAATGCTGTTTCTTTGCTTCAGGCTGGGATTGTATTAACCTAGGGTCGCAAGGTGTGAACTGCTGATCCAATGCACTAGATCTAAAATCGAAGCACAAAGAGTTTGATTTTTAAAAGAGAAAATCCACAATCCCTTAAGTTTAAGGGAGGCCTTAATAGTAATAATAATCCTTTAAGTTTGGTTTCTAAGACTAAATCTGTCCAAATATATGATACTTAGGGGCGCCCGTGTGGCTTGGTTGGTTATCTGACATTTGGTTTTGGCTCAGGTCATGACCTCACGGTTCTGGGATCGAGCCCCACGACAGACCAGACTCCATGCTGTAGAGCCTGCTTGGAATTCTCCATCTCTCTCTCTCTCTCCCTCTGCCCCTCTCCCCCACCCATGCTCTCTCTCTAAAGTAAAGCAACAACAACAATAATATGTATGTGATTCTTAAAGGCAAAGGGAGGATAATTGTAAAAGAGGTGCTTGGTGGGGCACCTGGGTGGCTCCGTCGGTTGAGCGTCTGACTTCAGCTCAGGTTATGATCTTGCAGTTCCTGAGTTCGAGCCCTGGATTGGGCTCTCTGCTGTCAGCCTGTCACTGTCCCCCTCTTTCTGCCCCCCCCCACTTGTGCTCTCCCCAAAATAAATATTTTTTTTTTAAAAAGAGGTGCTGGGTGTCCACAGCCCAAAACTGGTCTCAGGATGAGGGCCTCTCCCCCTGACACCTTATACAGCTCAGGAACTAGGCCCACAGCAGCATGTGGTCCAACCACTCTCCCAGGAAGGGACAAAGCTTCTCTATGACCAGCCTGAGGCCATGGTGTCTGCGGGAGTCTTTAGGAACGAGTCTCCAAGATCCCTTGGCTCCCTGCCTCCCAACTTTCTCCTGCAACCAAGCCCGTGGTGTGTGGGGCCTCTCCCTGAGCCAGCGACCCAGGCTGTGAAGTCAGGGAAGGTAATAAAAGGACTGGAGGGTTTTAGCCTACATGGGAATGGATATTGGAGGGTAGAGAGGGTGGAGGGGCTGGGTAGGAGGTGGGAGGGCTGTGGAAGGAAGGTCACTGTGGCTTCATGATTCCTTTAACCCCTCCTGAGGAGTCAGTACAAGGGCTGAGAGATGCAGTTAGACACAAGTTTATTGGTGGAGCTGCAGCGGAGTCCTCCCTCTCTCTGGGATAGCCGAGGGCACAGCACCAACAGAGGGATGGACAGACAGACCCCCAGAAGGACACATGGATGGTGCAGACTCAGAGAGACTATAGCACAGCCACATAGGCACAGAGACACACAGGCCACAGCACCAAGAAACACACACACACGGAGACAAAACCACAGGGCTAGAACACACGGACAAAGTGCGGGCTTTGGGGCTCCTGCATAGACAGAGCGAGGGCCACATGGGGAGGGGGCCCCTGCTGACCTCCCCCAGGCATAGGCACACCAACAGCACACAGACAGGCAGATGCCCCCAGCCAGCCAGCCAGCCAGCCAGCCTGCCACACAGACAAATGAACTGCATGGAGAGGACGCTTGTGCTCCCCAGACCATAGAGTGGGGACTGAGGGCCTTCTACACACCCCCACCAATTGATTCCCATTCAGCCTGACTCCTGCCTGCCCCCCACACCCACTTTGGTCTTGCCCACTGGGGCTGGGGGCTGGGGCGCCGGCAGGTGGAAGGAGGGAGAGAGGAAGGGGTATGGGCCCAGTTCTGTCCCTTTTCGGAGAGCGGGGAGGCAGGTACTGAGAGTCCAGGGCTGAGCCAGGGCCTGGCAGTGGGGTGAGGGCAGGGCCTCGGCTCAGGCCTGGGGGGGCTCCCGGCAGCGCAGGCACTGGGCCATCTCGGGCTGGTACTGCTCAACCTGCAGGGTACAGCTGGAGAATCCAAACCGGGAGTGGAGCTGGGATGTGGCTTCAGCCAGGACAGCTTCAGGGTCAGCCGTGGAGTCTGTGGGAGAGTGATAAGAGGCAGCAGGTTCCCAGGGGAGTCGGGAATCAGGCAGGGGCCAAGATAAGGCCGGGTGAAGGGGGACCCAATGGCTTGCACAGCATTAAAGCCAGGTTTGAATGAGAAGCTTTATTTTCTTTCTGTATTGTATGAACAGCATAAAAATGCCAAAGAAAAGGTTGGGGAGACTCACCCCCTAATCAACCATGCTACCAGGCTAAAACACCAAACCATTCTTATTTTTCTATTCTCTTCTGCTCTTTGACTATTAACACGCAGCTGTATGTTTCAGCAGCCATAGTACCCGACTTTCCAAGACAATCCAGATGTTAAATATTTTCTCCCATTGTCCCTCTAGAGTTACCATCAACTATCCTACAAAGTATAATATTTTTGGCATCCAAATTGCATGTCTCTGATTGCTTCTTGCATCTGGAAGAAACTCAAAAATCCTTTGTCAGCTTGTGAGTCACCATATATATTTTTAATAGTTGAATCATAATGTAGATATAATTTTACATTCAGCTTTTTTCTCTTAGCTTTATACCATAAACATTTCTCCTAGTTGCCATACAGTGTTCATAATCATCATTTTGAATAGTTCCATGTTACCCTGTTGTCATAACTTACCTAACTGTGCCCCATCACTAGACCTATTGGTACTAGTAATCTGTTTTTTTTTTAAGTTTATGTATTTGTTTTGAGAGAGAGAGAGAGAGAGAGAGAGAGAGAGAGAGAAAATGTGTGTGTGTGTGCATGAGCAGGGAGAGGGGTAGAGAGAAAGGGAGAGAGAATCCCAAGCAGGCTCCATGTTCTCATTGTGGAGCCCCACACAGGGCTCAATCTCAAGAACCGTTAGATCATGACCTGAGCCGAAATCAAGAGTCGGACGCAGAGCCACCCAGGTACTAGTGATCTTTTAAAGGGTTGCTGATTCTCTGCACTACCTCAGACAGGGGGAAACCTCCCCTCCAGAACACCCTGTCCAGGGTTCCTTGTCTCCAACATGCATGTGTGTGTGAGAGAGATCAAGAAAGAGACAGAAACAGCAATTCAGGCTACCTCCCTAGGTTTGGAAGGGGAGTGTGGGGGGTGGGGTTGGGAGATGGGGGACTGTTTCTAGGAGGTAACTGGCTAGGGCCAGTGAGGACTCACCGATAGCCAGGTGTGCGGAGGCAACATGGTAAGTGAGCGTAAGGGACCACAGGTGCAGCTCATGAGTTGCCCGGACTCCTGGCACCGACAACAGTGTGTCCCGCACGGGCTCAAACCCCACACTTCGGGGGGAACCTGCAAACAGCACCCGCCATGCTTACTGCCAGGGCCACTCCTGCCCAAAGGCAGCCCCCCCACCAGACTCTACCTCTCCTACCCTGTACATGCTTACCATTAACCCCCACAATTCCCCCTGTGCCTGAATCCTCCTTCTAGCAATAGGCCCCAGGACCCAGACCTTCTCCCAACATTCTCTTCAGGGAAGAGAGGTGGCTCAGAGCTGGAGGGAGATCAGAGAGGGCCCTGGGCAGGGAGAGTGGCATCTGATTTACCTTCCATAAGGACACGAAGAACATCTCGGAGGGTGGGAGCTGTGGATCCAAGGGCACAGATGGAGAAGAGGAAGGTGCTGATGGGGTCAGCTGCCTTGTACTGAGGCTATAGAGAAAGAGATCTCTAAGCCCAGGAAGCAGGAATATTCCAGTGGAAGATCTAGGGGTGTCTTGGAAAGACAGGACCCGAGAGGCCCCTGAGAGCCCTGCTAAAGGGGAATGGACCGTGACCTGGGGAGCTGGGAGTCGGCGGGGAGGGAGGCCAAGGGTCCTAGGAAGGAGGGGCCGGATGTGGAGCTGGGGAAGGAAGGCTGGGGCAGGCTTGCGTGCACAGTACCTTGAAGTAGATGAGGACAGAGGCGGCCAGTACCCCAAGGCTCTGCAGGAGGTCCCCCAGCACATGCACAAAGGCTGCCCGGACGCTGGTGTTCCCCAGGGGCAGGGGCTCCCCCGGCCCCTCCTCCAGCGGTGCATACTCTGCCCCCCTAGACCCGTGGCTGTGGGGGGGCCCGGCCTGGTGCAGCACAAAGGCCATTCTGAGGGGGAAGCAGAGCAGCTCAGCCCAGGTGGCCTGTTTCTGGCCTCCTTTGCCCTATTTCCATGGCTCTCCAACTCACCTCCCCAGGAGCCCTTTCTCCACCTATTGTCTCCCTGTTTTCCCAACCCGGGGAAAAAGACAGCATTGGATAAGAGAGACAAATCGTGCAGCCTGGGGGGAAAAATACCGTACATGGTGCAGGAGACAGGGATTCAGATCCTGACCCTGCTACTTGAACAGCTGTGTGGCCTGGGCAAGTCACCCGACCACTTCTTGGGACCTATTTCATTAACTGTACGCTAAGGGCGACACAGTCTACCTCATAGGGTGGTTGTGGGCCTTAAAGGAGACAGTACTGGATGAAACCCCCCCACAGAGCAGCTGGCACACAGTAGGCCCTTCATAAATGTCCGCTGACTCTGACGTCTAGGTCTCTCTCCTGTCTGTTCTCAGGCAGCCCTGGAGCAGACAGTTGAGAACCGTGTGTGTGTGTTGCATGCCTGTTGGGGAGGGGAGAGAGCCAGCTCTCCCACCCTGGAGGAGGACCCCTTGCCCTGAACCCCGCATGGTGCCTGCTCCATGCTGGAACGTACAGCAGATTGGCACAGACTGCGATGCTGGCGGTCAGCAGCATTGCACCCCCCTCGATGTGGTAGTCGCTGTGCAGCAGGCGGATGAAGGCCAGGTACAGGAGGATGCCAGTGACCATCCAGAGGGAGACCACGGAGGCCAAAGCCCCCAGAGTCTCTGCAGGGGGAGACAAGCTATCAGAGACCCGCCCGGGACCCTAGGAGGTACCTTCTGGTAAGATCAGAGGCTCACTGGGCCACGCAGGGCCTTACCTGAGCGGTGCCAGCCAAAGGTCATGGTGCGGGTGGCTGGACGGGTTGAGAGCCAAAGGGAGAAGAGGCTGCCCATCATGCTGCCCACATCCGCCAGGAGGTGGGCTGCATCCGTCATGATGGCCAGGCTGTGCGCCAAATACCCACCTGCAAGGGCAAAGCAATGGACGGTCTGGGTCCAGTTGGAAGATATCATGCTCCGTGGTAGTGTGTGTACAAGCATGGAAAGATACTGCGGGGACGTGCACCAAAATGTGAACCGTGTTTTTCCCTGGGGATGAGATTACAGGGAGTTTTTATTTCCTTCTTTTCACTCACCCACGTTTTCTAGTTTTCCTATAATGACACATTTTGATATCAAGAAAATAGGACTTTTGGGGCGCCTGGGTGGCGCAGTCGGTTAAGCGTCCGACTTCAGCCAGGTCACGATCTCGCGGTCCGTGAGTTCGAGCCCCACGTCAGGCTCTGGGCTGATGGCTCAGAGCCTGGAGCCTGTTTCCGATTCTGTGTCTCCCTCTCTCTCTGCCCCTCCCCCGTTCATGCTCTGTCTCTCTCTGTCCCAAAAATAAATAAAACGTTGAAAAAAAAAAAAA